AGCGAAAAAATTATCTGAACATGAATCTATATTTAAAGGGAATATTCAGGATTAATTCTTTAATACTTGTACGTTTAAGTAATCAGGCAGTGATAAGTTGGCACATACATTTTAATCAGGAAATAAAAACATAATGAAATCATATAACATAAATAATAACAGATTCATGATGAAGATGAAAAAGGTAAACATAAATATGACATAAAGGTCTCAATTAATTCCTAAAGGGGGGTAATTGATGCGAAGCCTGAACCGCTAGTAATACTACTATGGTAAGGGAGGGAGGTGGGATTTTTCAATACGGCACAAATATAAGCTGCGACACCATGCTGCACAGTAACAAAAGTTATTGCCCGCTATTACGTAACCACCAGTGAAATAGCGCTTGTATAATACGTAACGTATATCAGCCTACGTGATCAAAATGTACCTACCGAAATATAATTTATATTATACATAAATTATCACAATGTAATATTGAATGACTTTAATAACCTATACCTCATAGGCTTGTGATTCCAGACATTTCTGCAGATCAGTCAGACATAACGAGCAAAAAAAAACCGTCTTGATAAATGATAGAGCCTGCTAACCAAGAGTAGTTAACAATTTTTCAGTCCATTTGAACTTATGACATCACAAAATCTTGGTGGGATGTCTTCAACTATATTAAGATCTGGTATGATTGGCCAATCAAGTCCCATAAATTTCAGGAAAAATAATTGTAACAGCTGAATTGTCAAAAGTTTCACCTTTTCAAACTACCAAAAGGATTACTGTCGCAAATCAAGTTTAAACAGTAAAATGTGAGGATAAGCAGGACATTTAATGACACAACGAAGGAAAGAATCCTGTCCACCAGCTGGTCCTTGGCCTCACGAGTTCTTTCCAGGATTATCTGAGCCCATTTACAGCTGTGTTGACTGGTACAATGATAATTGACGACTTAATCAAGGTTAGACTTGCACATGCTGACCTAGATTAGAACCAACAATCACCATTTGTTCGACGATAACCAAGTCATTCCAATGCTCTAAGCGACTATACTACAGGATGTCCTCAAAGAAGGAGAAATAGCTCAGACTATCCCTTTAATCTGACATCAATGTTTATGTAGATCTATAAAGAATATTACGCCCAGCTGTCTCCTAGCTAATTACTTTTACAACACCGACTATCATAATGATATTATAGCATTTTAATATTGCTTACCTCTACACAAATAATACTAATCTAATATCAATCTATTTCTATAATTTAATAGTTTTATCATTGAATTATATTACATACACAGATAAACTCCAATTAAATAGATGAAAGATAGATTGCCAGGCAAGGTAACATACGTCCACTGGCAGCTTTCAGAAAAGATAAAACAGTCTTTAGTGACTAAAGTAATAATTTTCTTATATTAAAGAAATTTTAATAGTTTGAAATCAATGATATATATATTTACTGCCAGTTATTTATACTTGGAAATTCCACCAAAATTTTTAAAATCAATATCAATAACCCAAATACAACAAATCATTAAGTCACATAGCTCTAATCAAGGGCAAAATATTTATAAGAGTGAAATCGTTGAAAATTCAAGACCAAGATCTCATTAATATAAATAAAAAAGACGTAAAACTCCATTCATTTCATTTCATTCATAATAAAAATCACATGAAAACTGTAGTCTCTATTGTGTTCATGATCAAATTTTGACGCATTTTTTCTAAGTCAAGGAAAAATAACTCAAAAACCATTCATCAAAAGATTATTAACATCGAACTTGTCTAAGATCTCATCAATATAAATGATCTCACCAAATTTCATTTAAGTCAGTTGAAAGCTGTAGTCTCTTGTGTTCACAAACAAACTTTGAAGAGTTTTTCCTAAGTCAAGGGCAATAACTCAAAAACCGTTCATCGTCAAATTCAAACTTGACCAAGATCTCATCAATATACATTATCACATCAAGTTTCTTTAAAATCAGTTGTAAACTGTAGTCTGTATTGTGTTCACAAACAAATTTAGTCAAGTTTTTCTTAAGTCAAGGGCAATATCTCAAAAAAAGTTCATCGAGAGATCGTCCCATTCGAATTTGACCAGGATCTCATCAATATAAATGATCACACCAAAATTCATTAAAATCAGTTGAAAACTGTAGTCTCTAATGTGTTCACAAACAAATTTTGACACATTTTTCCTAAGTCACGGGCCGACTGACAGCTGTCACGGCAATATACATCCACAATTATATGTGGGCGTATAAAAAGCATTTCAAATAGGACAGGGTAAAAAATCGATTAGGTCGCTATGAATTTATAATTTGGACTATCTATTATCAAATTTCATAATCCATCAAATTTCAAAGTCATATTTTCTCTAGTGTACTGCCAGAAGTAATGTCTTTCAAAAAGTATCCCTTCAGCACAAAACTTACCCACAATAAACCCAATTCACTGATTTACCCACAATAAACCCAATTCACTGATTTACCCACAATAAACCCAATTCACTGATTTACCCACAATAAACCCAATTCACTGATTTACCCACAATAAACCCAATTCACTGATTTACCCACAATAAACCCAATTCACTGATTTACCCACAATAAACCCAATTCACTGATTTACCCACAATAAACCCAATTCACTGATTTACCCACAATAAACCCAATTCACTGATTTAATCAAAGTATTAAGTATTTAGAAGATTTCTCAGTTGAAATATTTCAATTATAAATCGATTGTTGAACGGTAGGTAGCCGTTGATTAGATCTCAATTCAGTTAACAATACCCATCCCAAATTTAAAAAATTTAAATATATTTGGAAAATTTGATTTTCATACCAATTTTTATGGATTGAAAAAGAAACCCTACGAAACAGATATATGTAGGAATTCCTATTCCAATTCATCAATTCCATAGTTAAATTGTACTTTTCAATATTGCCAAACACTGCCCTAGTAATACGTTTCAAATATTCACTGAAATTATCTAATGTCACCATAAGGCGACACCAATTTATAAACTTGGATTACGGGCCAGCCGACCTGCTTTTTTGACGAATCCCAATAAAAATAAAAATGAAAAAATCTATTTTTTTTTTATTCTTACTGTGTCCGCCGATGTAAAAATTTCAACACGAAATCCTAAAGGGACGTAACTCGGTTGATAAGTTGTACTCGCTTAGCGAAAGCGTTCACTGTTGAATGGTCAGTCAGTGTTAATGAGACAAAAGGCTAGTTCCACGATGTTTTTGATAACGGTACTACAAAGCAAGTACGACTATGCAAATGAGGTGCCTGCAAATTTCTAAAATAAATCTTGAACCGAAGCTATTTTCATTCGAAAGATAAATTGGTTTGTAATATGTTGATTGTTGGCTAGATAGTTTTAAAATTTGTTGTATTATGAGATTAGTTCTGGAAATCTGGAAAACCCTTTCAAAAAATAAAATAAACCAATAACACATGATTTGTGATTTGGTTCGTTCCAGTCTGCAAATTTTGTAAAAATTCTCTCGTCGGCCTTTATTCAATTGTTGTGATGAAAATACATCTATGTGAAAATGTGAGAAAATGAGCGTTGAACTCGATGTTTATATCAACGTCTCCATATGTACCGAGGGCCGTATCACAAAACGAACTATCGTGCGTGCCTCTGATGACGAAAATGTTGGTAATTTGTTGACGTGCTCCGGATGGCAGGACACAGAAGAAGTAACCGTCTCCAGCGTTAAAGCCGGTATCGAAATAGACCATGAAACTACCGATGTAGAGATAGTTACACCCGTAGCAGTTTTAAGACAATTTAATTTTAAATCCATAAGGTTTAATCTGGTGTCAAAGAATGATAAACAATGTGCTATTTCGTCAAAGCCTTCTTCTTGAAATGCAGATTTTTTTTTTTTTTATTTTTATCCCCCCCTGCTCCCTGCTTTTTTTAAAAGTTTTGCCCGTAATTCAACAAATTAAATTGGTGTGGCCTAATGATTCTAATCAAAATACCAACATGGTTATATCATGAATAAATTTACAAATATTTCATTTCGAACTATAAAATCGATTCTAGAACGAGAATAAATTAATGTACAATGTTATTGGAATTATTGATTTGAAGTGACATTCTGTTCTTGTCAATCAGTTTTTGTGGTTTGGAGCGTGAAATGCACAAAATTGCATGCCTTTAAATTAGCTTTCGTGAAAGCTTTAACTTATAATATGTTCAGTCACAAACAGTTACAAAAAAAAGCATTTCAGAATCCCCGGCCACCATTTCTATTTTACTAGCTGATATTTGGTAATGAGAAATTAATTCAGAATTGGTTCATCCATTGTTAATAACCAATAAGCAACAATTTCACAAACGTACCTCCTAAAAGAAGAGTTGCAGGTCTGTAGTTTGAAATACTCTGTCCACGCAAAAACTATGTCTGTATTTTTAATACAGCATTTCTCAAATTTGATGATCTAAAATTTGATGTTTTGTATGCTTTCTCTGTCGTCAGGTCAACGTATAGAAACTATACAAAGGGCATACATATATACTATCATATATAATAAATCTAGTTTTACAAGATGAAATTAAACCAGATTGCCACTAATATCAACTTATTTTCATCAGTTAAGCCCAACGCCGACGAGGAACATTTCTGTCGACGAACAAGAACATCGAACAAATATATTTCTTTTCCGTTATCCGCAGACGACGAACATTTAGCTCGAACAATACACCAGTGTCACGGAAAATCACATGACCTCAAAATGGCGATGTCCAGAAGATTATGTAAAATTGCGTTAGCTATTTTATTAATTTAAAAAAAGACGGCGAAATAGGAGCATTTGGGTCCGTACCTGGATTCAACGATGTAAAGAGCAGGGTGTGTTCGGGAACCTTGTAAATTTACCAGTTGTTTCCAGGGCTTGTGCTATTTCTTGCATCGCAGCGTACTTCTTGTTCCTATCTGAATAGTTGGGCGAAGAAATCATACACAAACAGGCAGATTAGGACCACATATCTACTAAAATCTGCTCCTTCTCCACAGTCCAAAATTTTGTGTTGGTGGATTCACTGGGCGTCGCCATTTTGAGTGTCATGTGGTCTGGCTTGATCGCCGATTGGTCTTTCGCCGATAAATGTTCGTCGTTAATGCAGACGGCGAACAAAGAATTGTTCTGGAGGCGAACAATTTTAAAAAATCAAATGTGTTTGATTTCACGAACAATTCTCACGAACATTTTTGTTCGTGTTTCTGTAATCCGCAGATGGTGAAAAAAATGATCGAAACAAAATTTTTACGATTGTTCGCTTAAAATGTTCCTCGTCTGGGCTTAATGGAAAATCAAATGAGATATAGGTAAGCTTATAAAATCATATGCTATGGGAGCAATTGTAACATTCATTGTATGGGATGAACTGTAACATTCATGATATGGGATGAACTGTAACATTCATTGTATGGGATGAACTGTAACATTCATGATATGGGATGAACTGTAACATTCATTGTATGGGATGAACTGTAACATTCATTGTATGGGATCAACTGTAACATTCATTGTATGGGATCAACTGTTACATTCATGGTATGGGATCAACTGTAACATTCATTGTATGGGATCAACTGTAACATTCATTGTATGGGATCAACTGTAACATTCATTGTATGGGATCAACTGTTACATTCATGGTACGGGATCAACTGTAACATTCATTGTATGGGATCAACTGTAACATTCATGGTAAGGGATCAACTGTGACATTCACTGTATGGGATAAACTGTTACATTCATGGTACCGGATCAACTGTAACATTCATTGTATGGGATCAATTGTAACATTCATGGTATGGGATCAACTGTAACATTCATGGTATGGGATCAACTGTAACATTCATGATACAGGATGAAATGTAACATTCACGGTATGGGATCAACTGTAACATTCATGGTATGGGATCAACTGTTACATTCATGGTATGGGATCAACTGTATCATTCATGGTATGGGATCAACTGTATCATTCATGGTATGGGATCAATTGTAACATTCATGTTATGGGATGAATGTAACATTCATGTTATGGGATGAACTGTAACATTAATAGTATGGGATCAACTGTAACATTCATGGTATGGGATCAACTGTAACATTCATGGTACTGAATAAACTGTAACATTCATGGTATGGGATCAACTGTAACATTCATGGTACTGAATAAACTGTAATATTCATAGTATGGGATCAACTGTAACATTCATGGTATGGGATCAACTGTAACATTCATGGTATGCGCTCAACTGTTACATTCATGCTATGGGATCAACTGTAACATTCATGGTATGGGATCAACTGTAACATTCATGGTACTGAATAAACTGTAACATTCATGGTATGGGATTAACTGTATCATTCATAGTATGGGATCAACTGTAACATTCATGATATGGGATTAACTGTAACATTCATAGTATGGGATCAACTGTAACATTCATGGTATGCGATCAATTGTAACGTTCATGGTATGGGATTCTGTCATTTGAAAATAAGTGAGTAGGAGTGACACCCATCTTCATAACATTAAGCTATTATGAACTCTGTCTAATACCTTGGTATCATTAGGCACCCTGAATTAGACACGATGGTTTTTGTAAATGCAGCGACTTGATTGGATTAAATGTTAGGGAATACAGCCAATCAGAACCCTTGACACAAAGACTAAACAATAGCTGAAAGTGAAACTACTAATTCTCGTATGCCATCCCATCATAGAGGCCATTACCTTCTTGTACTTTCAAACAAGGCATTTCATTGGCTATATATTGAACTCTCACAAGGGAGATAAATCATATATTAATGTTCCATACAGCTTTAATACAAGTATAGTGCCTGATGATGTAAAAGTAGATGTCAACAAGAACAAGTACTGACCTGTGACGTCTGCCCTGTATCAAGCTTATTTTCACTGGATGGTAGGATTTCTTTAGATATTGAGGCTTCAAGGGAAGATTCCTGAATTGGAAACCAATAAAATCTTAAGTATTTTAGAACTTCTATAAATATTTGGCAATAGGGAGAAAATTGTAAATATTTCGATGATAAACATATAAGCACCACAAGAATACTCAGTGAAAAGGAGGCAAGAGAAAAATTATACTTCACACTGTACATAAATATATATGCCAACCAGTAGAGTCAGCATCCGATCTGCCAGATTCCAAAAATTGTAGCAGTTTCTATATAATTTCAATCAAATAATTGCAAATAAAGTGCACATCCCTTCTTACCCTCAAGTAAATCTAAAGAAAGATCTGTCACTGTAAATAATAGTATTGAAATCCTAGTATCCCTTAGATACGGCCAGTAGCAAGGTCAATCTGTGCTCTATTTTAAATATATCTAATCCCCCTACCTGAGAAGCATGGTGTTTATTTTTATCTGCTGTATGAATCCTCTCCAACTGTTCACTGTTTAGTGGTACCCCATTTTCACACCTCACATTTAATCTACAAAATAATAGGAAATCTAGGTGATGCGAGTCTTTATTGGGCATATCAAATTTTGGTATTTTTGCAAAATTGTAAAATGTTAAAGGGACAGATGTGCCATTTTGGGGATTGATTTATATATGAATATATGTAAATAGTCTTCAGAAGTACAAGAAGTATACAAAAATTGCATAATTCCTTCAAGATATCTTAAACTAGGAATTTCTTTTCCTATTTCTATGGATGTCTTTTCTATAAATGGCAGTCTCACAAGAAAAGAACAACTCCAGATAATTCTGGACACACATGGATTTGAAGGCTCAAATTTCGATAGTGAGCTGTGAACACTTATACTGATCAACTTAACAAAAAAATTCCCATTTCTAAAACTTTTATACTATGAATTTCAATTTTCAAATCAACAATTCTTTAGGATATGGTGTTATATATCAGTTCTTACAATATCAACCTAACCAAAATCTGTGTCATAAGGTGGAAAAGTTATGTTCCATTTAAGTTTACAAGACAAAATGTGTCTCACATGTGGACAAGGTCCCACAGTAAGAGACCCTTGAAGTTATTTATACAAGTTAGAATTCATAAAACCAGCTTTGAACAAGTCTTAGCTATGTGAACAAACAACGTGTCCCTACTCTAGTCAGACATGACTGGGTCAAGTAGAGCAAGAATGAGTTTTAACTCCAACTTCTTTCATTTACATTAGATCTTACATCCCTGTTACCAAATACACTAATATTCTAAATAATTTTAGATATTAAATCAAACAGGTTTCAAATTCCATGTTTTAAAAACAAAGGTTTTCGACCTTTTTTAATGTGTATCAAGGCCATTTCTGCCTTCTATTTGCCTTATTCAAGTATCTCACAAATAATGTTTGTGTTTCCTGTATTTAAAGAAATGATTCAATCTATAAGATGTCACTATGATGTATACATCATTAATAGCTGAGGTTCTTTGTGATAGCTACTTCCTAAAACAGTTAGTTTTAGTGGAATTGTACGAACCATACAGATGTCTGAGTTACAAATGGAATGGTGCAAATTGAGTTTACAAATAGTTTAGAAAGCTGAAACACTGTGCCCTTCCAATGCCTGCTGGACCAACACTGATATTTAATGCTGGTTTCCCTCCTACACTCATTCTCTTAAGATGACATTCTTTGCAGCCACCACTACGGTCCTTTCCACAACTGATTATTTTTTATACTCAAGTTTTAGTATATGAGGTGGTTATTTCTGAGACAGTCTGATAGTTAAACACTGTTATCAGGGTCAGGCCATCTTGACCCAATAATTGACAAATCAACTATATAACCTAATATCACAATTTTACATCTTTGACAATATACAGCTCAATTAACAATTACTAATACACTAGCCTGGTACAGGTTGATCACCATATGGATCACCATATCGGGACAGTATACAGCTTATTTAACTGTTATTTATATACCACCCTGGTACAGGTCTATCACAATATTGGACAATATACAGCTTAATTACTGTTACTAATATACCAGCCTGCTATAGGTGTATCACAATATCGAACAATATACAGCTCAATTACTGTTACTAATATACCAGCCTGCTACAGGTCTATCACAATATTGGACAATATATAGCTTAATTACTGTTACTAATATACCAACCTGGTACAGGTCGATCACAATATTGGACAATATACAGCTCAATTACTGTTACTAATATACCAGTCTGCTACAGGTCGATCACAATATTGGACAATATATAGCTTAATTACTGTTACTAATATACCAGCCTGGTACAGGTCGATCACAATATTGGACAATATACAGCTCAATTACTGTTACTAATATACCAGCCTGCTACAGGTCTATCACAATATTGGACAATATATAGCTTAATTACTGTTACTACTATACCAGCCTGGTACAGGTTTATCACAATATTGGACAATATATAGCTTAATTACTGTTACTAATATACCAGCCTGCTACAGGTCGATCACAATATTGGACAATATACAGCTCAATTACTGTTACTTATATACCAGCCTGGTACAGGTCTATCACAATATTGGACAATATATAGCTTAATTACTGTTACTAATATACCAGCCTGCTACAGGTCTATCACAATATTGGACAATATGTAGCTTAATTACAGTTACTAATATACCAGCCTGCTACAGGCCGATCACAATATTGGACACTATACAGCTTAATCACTGTTACTAATGTACCACCCTGGTACAGATCTATCACAATATTGGACAATATACAGCTTAATTACTGTTACTTATATACCACCCTGGTACAGGTCGATCACAATATTGGACAATATACAGCTCAATTACTGTTAGGGCACAAGTCACGATATTGGAAATTTATGGTTCAATAAACTGGTACTAATTTACCACCCTGGCACAGGTCCATCAGGATATGGAACAATATACAATATTGGAAATTTATGGCTCAATTAACTGGTACTAATATACCTGGAACAGTTGTTTATCATCAATAATGCATGTACTATTTCTGTCAGTAGGTCAATGAGACTCCAGTCTAAATATATATAACTATTTCAGTTAGACAGTTCTGACATTGCTTAAAGCCAAGTGCTGGCATAATAGTTGGCGAGACTGCAAACTAAATACATCTTCAATTTTACATATTAAACAGGTTCATTCATTCATTCTATTAACCCCATGGTCTGAATATTGCACAGGACCATTAATGTCTATTGGACCTAATTCTAACCCATGTAAAATAAAGACTTTATTATTGTTACTCTCTTCTGACTTGTCAGCAAGTTGAAATCCCTACTTGTAAAATGAAATTGGATTAGGAACTTTACATCAGTGCTAATGATTAATTTTTTTGGCAACCAGACATTTTTCAACGACCTGAGAAATCAGATCTCAATTTTCTCTTGTCTTGAGAGAAGGTCTGTATATTATATTGGTTCAGTACTGGTAGTGACATGATGTTTGGCAAAAGAAAGGTCAACTGTTTCATTTTACCAATAGTTCTACTTTATCACTAACTAATTACTCTGCCAAACAATCAAAATATGTTTAACTAAAATTTTGAAATAATTTTGGGTCACTTTGTCCTTTGCACCTTGTTTTCGGCATTCTTCACAAACATTATTTAAACTGATATAATTTTATCCCTTGCCTTTCAAATAACTTTTGTGGTTTTCCTGATAGTTGCCATAATAAATGTTAGACCACCTATATATTTTAGATAATATTTATGTCATATTACAGTAAATCAATCAAATCAATGTAAAGTTTACATCATACGTCTTGTCTTTGAAATCAATTCCCCTTCATGATGCCTGTGTCTCATAATATTTAAAGCCCTATGTGCGATTGTTTATAGGAATACTGATAACGATATTAAAACTTTTCAACAATGGTGCAGAAAGGTGCTATAAGTGTCCCTGATACATATAAAAACCTTGCAATCCCTCGAACTCCCTGACTTTTCAACTTAAAAACCTAATCATTGATTTATCACAATAATTCAGACAAATATTATCAATTAATAACAAGGCCATTTTGACCCGAAGTCTACATACACCGAATTGACCTCGAAAAGTTTACATTTTGACAATCTAATACCGGGGAAACATTTTTCTTTTAAACAAAAATAAACACAAACTTCCACATTCTATCATTGATCTTTTTACCTGACTAAAAAACAATGGAGAGTAAAAACTAGCTGACAATATCATACTGGAGGTCATCACATTATAATAAACCATGGACATTATATTGTCTTACTACAAATACTTTAATATCCCACAAACAGACAGGATTTAACAAAAAAATACTTCATTATTGATTTTAAAAAAAGACTTATAATATTTCAAGTTAACCAAAAGACATTATGACCTTATATTATCTTATGTGACTGAAATATCTGTCCATACTTGATTAAGACTAATCATTATATAATCTTTGTCACCCAAAAGGCATTATGACCTTTTATTAGTACACAGTTCTTCTTTAAAGCTGTCCTGATGAGGACAGTGTATCAGAAACATATCGATAATACACCACTGGTTTCAATAAGAGACTAATAACTGAATAATGTAAATCAACCAAATGGCATTATGACCTTTTATTAGTACACAGTTCTTCTTTAAAGCAGTCCTGATGAGGACTACATATCCGAAACATGTGTCAGCAGCATGAGATGAGCCCTATATAATTAGTTAAGCTCCTAAAACACAATTAGAGCTGTCAGTGCCACTTTTCAACACAAATTTCTAGATTTTAACAAAATGACTTATCAATTGAACAACTGAATCAAAACAATGGTAATATGACATATTGTGTACTATATTAAATAGATTGTACAGAGGTTTTCTTAATGTATATGTGTATCAAGGACACTGATAGCACCATTCCAATAAGACGTGTATGGTTCCTGCAATTCCACTAAAACTAAGTGTTTGATGACATCACTAATTGCAAAACATACCTCAGATCTTATGATTAGTGATGTCATTAAACACTTATTTTGTAGGAATCCCAAAATTGGAATGGTGTAAATCGAAGCTGTAAGTGTGCCCGATACACATAAAACATTAAGAAAACCTCTTTACAATCACTTTAAGATTAGTTTGCTTACTGTAGAATGACACTAAATATCTTATTCACCTTGGCAGCTGATGATAAACAATAATAGATATCTTTAACATTTAACTGAATAGAAACAAGAGGCATTGTGACCTAACATTAGACATTGACTGTCTACACATTCTACTGAATTAACAAGCTAATATAGCATAATTTTAGCGACTCAAAACATTAAATTAAATGAAAACTGAATTAAACTTGTAAAATTAGTTTGTATAATGAAATGAAATGGAGACCATATATAAATAGTAGATCCCTCTCTGACCAGTTTCAAAACATTAGTTTTCCAATAAATAAACCAAGTACTAACCATCCGAACTGCAAAACTAAACCCAAATCCAAAATCACATGAGGAAGTATATCAAGCCAAAAACCTAACTGCTTTAAATTTGAGCACCTAATTTTCCAAGCCTAGTTAAAAATCAGACTACCCCCCTTTAATAATAGACATTCAGACCTTTTCCTATTTCTATAGATGTCTTTTTATATATGACAGTGTCTCAAGAAACTTTCAATCGCAGATAATTCTGGACACACATGGATTTGAACGCTCAAATTTTGACAGTGAGCTGTAAAAAATTTACTGATTAGCTATAAAATTTCCGATCCTGAGACTAAGGTACGATTGGTAAAAAAAATGGCGCATCTGTCTCTTTAAAATCAATATATTATTCAAACACAATTTTAACCAATCAAATTTTCCAGAAGAATTTAAAAACGTGTAGATGACCTAACCTTTCTGTACTGATCAACTACATATAATGTTTTTCATGGCAACAGGAAGATTTTAAGTTATATTAACACTACAGACTTCCCACTTTAAGGAAGTTTTTATGATTGACAAACTTAGTCAATCTGATATATAATGGAAAAGATGGATGATTTTAGTCAATGTTAATGGTATTTGGTGATAGCTTTAATATAACAATGTCATCTTCTAATTCTTGCGTACAGGTTAAATCTTTGATAACAAGGTGATTAGATTAGATTATACTGAGGTTGAATATAATAAATTACTTTGGACAGGGTTATATTGGACAGAATCACTCTTCTTTCCATTGGCATCAAAGGTATTATAGGTAGATAATTTTGGATAGCAAGGCGATTATAGTTATATTGAGGCTATATTTAATAAGTTAGTTTGGATAGTGTTATATTGAACAGAATCCTTCTTTATTTCATCAGAGGCCATTACTTAAAATTACAAAACTTAAACTACATTATGACTAGAATTATGGAAAGGAATTAACTGCTTTCTGGGTAACCTTAACTGAAGTTGCCCCTTGGCCCTAAAATTGTTTTCCTCATTAGGGGACATTATGTAACACCTAGGTTTAAACTGTCAAGAAATTTATTCCAGTTCGGGTCAAGATAATGCGTTCCTTAATTCCTCAATATTCCTGCAGCTGTGTCTGAAGGCTATTTCATTCATGATCACCCATTCCAAAAGATAAAGTTCTTGAAGGCTCTCATTTTAAATATGAAATATCATAAAATCGTGACTTGCAAAATGCAATTCAGCATGTATCAGAGTCAGCGTATGTGTCAAAGTTGAAGAAAAATCTACGATTTAATATTTAAATCTCCCCTCCCCCAGCACTGTACAACCACTGCCGTAACAACAACTTGACATAGCTGAAACAAGCAGCACTTTCAGTTGGCCTGTCAAAAATAATCACAGCAATACTTACTGTAAAATGGCTATGATCGAAACAGTTATACATATAGCTAACAGTTTCAACACCATTTTTCACGACATTTTTAGCTCCGAGCTTTTACTCACTCAAAACATGATACGATCAATAATTTGACATGTGTGTAAGATCGGGAAATAGTTTCTGTCATTAGGCTTGACGTGTTCTAATGATTGCGCATGCCCATGAGGAAATACCTTCCGGTTTGAAAGCGAGGTTAGAGGAAATTCCTTTCATTCTTAAATAAAATCTCGATCATCAAGACGCTAAGCAAGGTGTGGTGATTTTAATCTACAAGGCCACCGCATAGTGTTTATCTGATCATTACAAACCAATTTATTATTTTATTACACCATAGATAAACAAGATTTGGACGAATTTGATTTAATTATATCGAAATTGTAAACTTACGCTTTTTAAAGATCTCTTATTTGGATTGAGTTCTAGATAAAAAAAAAGCGAATTAGGCCTAATCAATTATTCAATTTTTCTTCTCTAATCTTAAAGACTTTATTTATAAATTTTAAGTTGCTCTACAAGAAAGGAATAATTTCGTGTGGTACGAAAAAAAAATTTGGGACGAAAGCGGTTAAAATCATATTTTTTTTTAAATCTCATGTATGGCGTTGCCATTGTTTTGCATAATGTTTTTTTTTTTCATTACGATTACGATCCCTGGCGGAGTGTAAGTAGGCCTACTGTTTTTTCTGCCAATAACTCAGTAATATGATCATAAAAAGAATGCTGTCCGGAATGGTCTCAGATTCTTGGGTAGAAATGATGGGCCAAAAAATCAACTCTTTGGTTAACTAGGAAGCGAATATCTATCCTAACCAAGGGACCAAAGAAAAAACAGGAAATACATTGTATTTCAAATCTCGTGTCAGAAATGAAATGAAATGAATGGAGTTTTACGTCCTACTTAAATCTCGTGTCAGATGCCCAATATATAGATAGATGTTTATTGAATTCTTCGCCCTTTTTGGACAGCATACATCATGATAGGGCCTACAAGATAATACATAATAGGGCCAAGGCCTAAGTATATAAATATGACATTTTTGATTAAATTCTAGAAGGCCATGCAGTGTACAATGAGATAGATTCAATGTAATGTGACACGAGAATTCTTACCTGAACAGCAAATGAAATGAAATGAATGGAGTTTTACGTCCTACTTTCTGCACCATGTGGGCTAATGAAGTCGGGCAACGCCATGCAGGGTGCGATGAGGGAAATTTTGCCAGGGCAGCGGCATTAGCCTGCTCTTTTTCGATTTGCAACTGTCGAGGGATTTTTAACGTGCACAGCCTGTAGCACATGAGGCCTCGGTTTATTGTCACATCCGAACGACTAAACGCTTTTTCCACGACAGCCCCTCTTACCTGCATCACTGACAGGGGGAAACCGGTTTGAAAAATCCGAAGGTATTATCTCGACCTACTTACCTGAACAGCGACAACACTCATCGACTCCTTTATGAAGTATAATTGTCGCTGAAGATCTAACTTCCAGGGCTTGTACAACCCGGGGCTTTAGTCTTTTGCATATAACTCAAAAGTCAATAAGCTTTAGAATTACTCTTTGTCTATATAAAACGATAAGAACAGGACACTTTTAACGTTATGGGTGAAAAATTTTCAGGGGGGGGCCAAATATTTAACCCCCCCCCCCCCCGCCACCCTTGTCTACGGGCCTGCTTCCAGGGCGTGTACAACCTGGGGTTTTAGTAAATAAGTTTGACCTTGAACAGAGAGGAAGCATCTTACCCTATGTCTTAAGTTGAACCTGTCCCTCCGTCTGTCCGTTCTGTCCCATCACTGTCAATCACCGTGTATTCCAGTCCATTACGGTAAATTAATATTGTGTAATGATGTAACAGACTGACATGTTATTGTTCTGATGGATCACCCCCTAATCTTATAAAACATGGCGACCAGGTTGACATCTTCATCTTTATTCTTCAATCACAAGGTAAGTATTTCTTTAGTATGTTTTTATTTGATAGATATCGTGGCGAAAGCCAAACAGTCCAAAGACTATAGACGCGTTTACACGACCAAAAATTGTCCGTGTCTCGTCCGGATCGAGTAAGGTTCATTATAAGCTAGTCAATATTTAAAAACAGCTTCATGGGTCAACTTCAGAACAGTTGTTCCGTTGCCAAACAGCATTTTGATTTGAAGTCCACATCCCCTTTTGCCATTCAGTTCCAATTTAAATGATCCATGATAAATAACACAAGATATTAATAAACTCAGGAAAAGTATATCCATATATCTTGTGTTATTTATGTTTGCCTTCTTACTTCTACATGTCTTACAAAGAATGATCCATGATAGCTATATACACCCCTTCCAGTTGCTTATTTAGTTTGAGGTCCACTGGGTCATGGCCCTCCGCCTAGGGGGACTCCGGCCTCAAAGGGGCTTCGGCCCTTCCTCGCCTCGGAGAAGCACTTCTCATATTTGCCCCCTCAGTCATTTTCTTGATACGCCCATTTCATGTGTACCCACGGATTTGTTCACAAAAATATATGCCAAATTTTTACTTAAAATTAAAGTGGCTCTCACACTATAGCGTATGGCTGCGAATAATGAAACTGCTTGAGAGTTGCGTTGCGACTTTAACCTTAAACTCATTAAGCAACGTTTCGACAACATTACACTAGTCAAACAATGTTTTATCTATTATTTGTATATTACAGAATGAAGTTAAGTATCATCAGCTCCCTGGCAGTGGTGTTTCTGTCACAGTCAGCATTCTCACAGAGTAAGTTAATTTTTAACGAATTCAGAAGGTGTATCGGGGGGTCACTTGTAGCAATCCGATTTCGTGGCTCAAATAAACTAGAATTCTAAGTCTTTGTATTTGTATCGGGGACACTTTTAACTAATATTTGTATGTCTATCGGGGACACTTATAGCTTCTATTTGCATCATTCGGATTTCCTAGTCCTTGTATTTGTATCTGGGACACTTATAGCTTCTATTTGTATGTCTATCAGGGACACCTATAGCTTCTATTTGCTAGCTTCTCATTTGATGGGAAATTGGACCGATACAGGTTCGAAGCCCTTGAATGTGTATTGCGGACAAATCTTTTTTAGCCAAATGATCAAAGAGCAAAACGGTAGGGCGTAAAACATTCATTCTTCTTATTTTTATTTCAGAATGTCTTCTGTCTGTTGATTTTGGTGATTGTCCAGAGTCCACGTTAGTAAGTACTAGGTACTATTATAACAAAGACAAAGACCAATGCGAGGCATTCAGCTTCAATGGATGTGGTGGAAACGCTAATAATTTCGACACGTTAGCAGAATGTGAATCGATGTGTGTCCTGTCTCTGACAGACGGTCATCCAATTACTGATGTTTCTCAATTGACTCAAGCTGTGGACCCTTTAGTTGGTATAGTTGATCACATCCCCGATCACTCTCATCACCCACTAGATGCCTACAATGCGGTTGACTCCCACCTACCGCTTGACTCCCACCTACCGCTTGACTCCCACCACCCAGCTGACTATATCCACTCAATCGAATCTCACTACCCAAATGACATCATTGTAGGCAGACCAGGTCGTAGAGATAGAGGGTTCCCATCCAGCAGTGGACGCCGTGTTGATAGAAGAAACAGAAACGGTATGCTTGATCAATTGAGACAAACCTTAAACGAATATTACAGAGGTGATATCATATTTCGTAGAAACGGAAGACGCAATGACTTAATCGACATTATCAGAAGAGGCAACCGTAATAGCAGAAGAAATATCAGAAGAAACAGTCTGCCAATTCGCATGATTCTTAGAGCACTTCGTTTGGATAACCTCAGGAATAGAACCACTAGCCGTAGAGACAGGAATAGAACCACTAGTCGTAGAGACAGGAATAGAACCACTAGTCGTAAAGACAAGAAAAAGAAAAAAATTGGGAAAAACAATCATAAGAGAAACAACAAACCAATTCAAATCATCTATAGCAGTGATTAGATCACAAATTTAAAATCTTATTACAATTCAAATTCGCTCTATTTTTTTCTGATATGTTTTTTGCCACAGTCGGTTTTAATGACAGTATTTGAACCATTCAGAGCATGTCATATAGAACCCTTTTCTTAAAAACATAACAAAATGTGGGATAGCTATCCAACAATTCGCTAAGTTTGATCAAAAAATCAAAAGGCAAATATATTTTTTATCAAAGACAATTGCTCCATAAATTCTAACAAATCCATCGACATATGACATATTTATCCAACTGGTTAGCAGATTGATGGTTTTCTGGGCCAGATTGCCAGATATTTTTACTTTAAGATTATTTTTTATTATAAATGTGAACCCGGTATTGTAATTAATGACAATATTAAAGATTAAAAAAATATATATATTATGTTATTCATGGCTCTACCATAGTCCCGTAGCTTCCGACCTCCCACCAGAAAATTTCTGACAACCGACCAATTCCACCACTGCAACTTAGTACGATTGCCCCATTGCCCGATTGAATATATTGTTTGCCCCTCTGAGCAATCAAGTCTTGGGAAATAGAGTAACAATAGTCCGAACCCAGTCGGTCAATAGGCATACGCAACCTATATATAAGGCGTCTACAAATAGTATAAACTTGTCTACAGTGATGTCGATTTGTTTTCTTTCCATTCCTAATCTACATTACAGAGTTGTCTTCTCCAGATAAGACATCAGGACTCACTCCACTAATTCATTTGCCATCTCTTCCCATGTTAAAACACGAAATTCAACCTTCTATAACTTTTTCCAGAAATCTCGTTGAAAGCTTTCCAACATGTCGAATGAAAGCCTGACCAATTCTCAATGTCTCCTAAAAAATTCATTATATGATGACCATGAAAATTTTGAGCTACTAAAATTGGAAGTAGACTACTACCGGTTATACTCATCCGCTAGAGTTTGGCACTTCACAAAACGACTATTTTTAGAATTAGCCTTCCGCCTTTAAGTCTCTCATCATCTCACCAAATGCAATTTCAGACATCAAATTCCAAATCTAGACCAAATTTTACCCAAAAATAGGCAGGCAAAAACCCCAAAAGGGAGAGAGAAAGAAGATTTCTAAAAATAGCCTGGACTACATACCCCAAAAGGGAGAGAGAAAGAAGATTTCTAAAAATAGCCTTGACTACATTCCTATACAATCATTTGCATAAAATGTTTTAGTGGAGTGAGTCCATCAGACCCAGAGAGCAACACCACAGCAATGTTGTGAACATGTCTCGCCGATGCTCCGTTGACAATGGAGTCGTTCCCTAGAAAACATATTCACTAGTTGAAGGGAGATAACCGATTTCAATACACCTAAAATTCTTTTTATATCGTATACACAGCCTTGCTCAATGTCTTTATTTGACTTATCAACTGTTGTAGTTCTGTTAAACAAACACTCTTTAAGACAACATCCAAATAAAAAAGTTATCAAAGCAATCAACACAAGGCGGTAGGCTTTTAAAAAATGAAAAAAATGTTAAAATTATATATAGATTATCCAGACAAAAAACAATCCATCAGTCGCTTATTTTTGTCAATGACTCGAATCTTGTGTCAAATCTTGTGTGTGCCCGCGCTTCCACGACAAGATTATTCAACAGGATTTATAGTATCAAACCATTTTGATATTTGTCGCCGATTGTTTAATCGTCAGCAAGACAGAGCGTCATCATCCAATTAGATTCATTTTCTTTTCAATTGCAGGTAATTATTGGTGGAAAACGACCGACTGAAGATTTTTTGTTTCCTCGTATGCCCACATCCGGTCTTCAAAATTCAGGATAAGACTCTAGTGACCAAGACCGTTCACCGTGGCCTTACAAATGGACTAAAAGCTTAAAGTCAAAAAACATTTTTTTTTTCAATTTTTCAACACTTTTCAGAACATTGATGTGACATTACTTGAATCTAATGATAAACTTGACTTATATTCATGATACACAAGAGATTCACTCTCTTGGTTCTCTTCACCATGTCAAGCTATTATGAACTTCGTATTAATACCTTGATTGCAATACTCACTTTTCTTGACATTGTGAAGATGTGGTTTTGTTTTGCCTCCCTAAATTCTATGTAGTATTTAGCAGCAATGACAGGTGTGGTACCTGGCGGAGCATGATTACTCTTCTGATCACTTGATGCCTCCTTTCATCATGAAATGCTTCCTCGTGTATTCGAGTCTTATATAATAACTATTATGATCAGAACCCTACCTTGACAATCGAAATTGGAGAGTTATGTCCCTTGAACTTTTTAAATTCCTCGTCAATTCGCTATTTCTTTTGTTGGCGCATTCCTATTTGTAGTGTTGTTGTGTTGTTTATGTTTAGGGCCGTAACCAATGACCGTGACTTCATCAAGACTATTTAGGCAATCAACATGATTTTCGCCCCATAGGAAAAAGACCCTAGTTATGGCCCTGGGAATCGTTCCACAAAAATTCGTAAGTTATTCTGGAAGAAAATCAACCGAAAACGTTTTGGACAAACACGATCATTTCAGTGAGCAATTACCATTCTTTCAGTCAGCAATAATCATTCAATCAGTCAGCAATTTATATACTTTCATTAAGCAATTACCATTCTTTCAGTGAGCAATTACCATTCTTTCAGTCAGCATATTATATACTTTCATTAAGCAATTACCATTCTTTCAGTCAGCAATTACCATTCTTTCAGTCAGCAATTTATATACTTTCATTAAGCAATTACCATTCTTTCAGTGAGCAATTACCATTCTTTCAGTCAGCATATTATATACTTTCATTAAGCAATTACCATTCTTTCAGTCAGCAATTACCATTCTTTCAGTCAGCAATTACCATGTATACAGATAATAATTTAAATTTCAAATATAATATAAACGGATAATAATTTAAATTTCAAATATAATATATACAGATAATAATTTAAATTTCAAATATAATATATACAGATAATAATTTAAATTTCAAATATATACAGATAATAATTTAGATTTCAAATATAATATATACAGATAATAATTTAGATTTCAAATATAATATATACAGCTAATAATCTGAATTTCAAAAATAATATAAACAGATAATAATCTAAATTTCAAATATGATATAAACAGATAATAATTTAAATTTAAAATATAATATATACAGATAATAATTTAGATTTCAAATATAATATAAAAAGATAATAATTTAAATTTCAAATATAATACAAAGAGATAATAATTTAAATTTCAAATATAATATATACAGATAATAATTTAAATTTCAAATATGATATAAACAGATAATAATTTAAATTTAAAATATGATATAAACAGATAATAATTTAAATTTCAAATATAATATAAACAGATAATAATTTAAATTTCAAATATAATATATACAGATAATAATTTAAATTTCAAATATAATATAAACAGATAATAATTTAAATTTCAAATATAATATAAACAGATAATAATTTAAATTTAAAATATGATATATACAGATAATAATTTAGATTTCAAATATAATACAAACAGATAATAATTTAGATTTCAAATATAATATAAACAGATAATAATTTAGATTTCAAATATAATATAAACAGATAATAATTTAAATTTCAAATATAATACAAACAGATAATAATTTAGATTTCAAATATAATATATACAGATAATAATTTAAATTTCAAATATAATATAAACAGATAATAATTTAAATTTCGAATATAATATAAACAGATAATAATTTAAATTTCAAATATTGTATATACAGATAATGATTTAAATTTCAAATATAATATAAACAAATAATAATTTAAATTTCAAATATAGTATATACAGATAATGATTTAAATTTCAAATATAATATAAACAGATAATAATTTAGATTTCAAATATAATATAAACAGATAATAATTTAAATTTAAAATATAATATATACAGATAATAATTTAAATTTCAAATATAATATAAACAGATAATAATTTAAATTTCAAATATAATATAAACAGATAATAATTCAAATTTCAAATATAATCTATGACCATGTATTTGATGAAGCAAAGTATCGACGAACTAAAGGGATACAAAAGAGGATTCGTATCATCTGGTCACCTTTTGACTTTTTGATTATGTGATATCAAATTTGTAAATTACCCATGGTTTAACTCATCAAAATATGTTTGTTATTGTACTTATATAGTAATAATAGATAATTTTTATAACGGGTGTGTAGAAAATTAACATATAGAGTTTGTCATATTTAAGATAAGTTTGTTGATAAAAACCTACTGAAAATTGATGTGTGATATCAAATTTGAAATTTGCCCAGGCTTTTACTC